TCTTTCCCTTCTTTCGGAGGTAATATTATTTCTCTTAATGTTATATTAAAATATTCAAAGTTTTTTTGCTTTGAATATGTTTTATTTTACTGATTATTAATTCGTTCATATTAAACGGACTTGAATATACAATTATTTTTATCTTAGGGTTACAAAAATGCTTATGGACTTTTGGAGTCGGAAAAAGCGAATCTATTGGGTGTAAATGTGACCAATGACAATACTAGTGAGACGGATCAGACCTCGAGCACTTCCCTGGTCCGAATGCAATCATTTCTCAGCACAATTCACGATCAGTGCTACCATATGCTAGGCAGCGGCTGTCATATGATCGGCCGAGATTTCTATCAATTGCCCGGGTTTGCACCAGCGTTGCTCAATTCAGTTTTCTCGAACATGGAGGTAATCAAATAAAATGGAGGTAATCTAATAAAATGCTATTTTGATTTCATCGATAATCCTTTAATTTTCATCAATTTTATATTATATGCATTCTCTCTTAAACAGAAATAAAAAAAATATCTAATTCTCCAGGTGATTCCAGACTACAGACTACGGCCGATTATACGTGTGTTTATGAAGCCATTCATATATTCGTGTCCACCAGCTTTTTATGAAAGCGTACTAGTACCTGTATTGGCTCATGTATCTACACATAGTGAGTATGATTATCAGTTAATTTTTATTTAATTTTTTTATGTTTTCTATCATGTCAAACAAATTTAAATGATCCATACCATGCGGTTTTGTTACAGTGTGCCAAAGATTAAGCGCAAAGTGGCAGTACATTGCGCATCTCTACGAATCCGGTGGTTTGGACGAGAACACCGACACACAAGAAGTCATTGATGACATGCTCAACAGGAATCTGACCAGAGACTTCGTGGACGTGTTAAAAGTGGCTCTAGTCGGTGGAGCTGCTAGCGACGCTGCGCCTCCAGACAGCATGGATCAGGACAGTGGGGGAATGGCAGTGGATCCACCTCTTTCGCGGGGGAACAGCATTGTCGCCGAAGTCGTCAGCGAATTGGGGGCTTTCGTTCTGCGTCATCCGTCTACCTGTCACAGCGTCGTCCTATGTGTATTAGGGTAATATGATATAGAATTATACGATGTCCGTTGTAAGGCAGTAATACTGTATGAATTTCACTATAAAGTTATGAGATAAATAAAATTTATTTTTTTATTAATTTTTATATGTTTCTCTAGAGCATTTTCTATCCATATTATGTCTTGTTATTTCTAGGGCGCTTGCGTGGAACGATTCAAACGCGAGTCTCAAGGCGACGATGTTGACTGGACCCGTAGTACGAACACTAGCAGCCGATGGTAGTCTTACTCCTTCCATGGCAGCGCACATCATGGTCGCCGTTCTCCAAGGCTTACAACTGCATGGTCAGCACGAGGCCAATCAAGGTTCCCTTATTACCCTTGGCGCACAAGTCTATGAATGCCTTAGACCTAAGTTTCCAAATATCATCGAAGTAATGCAGCAGATCCCAGGAGTCAATCCTGCCGACTTGCAACGATTCGATGAAAAAATGGCGGTGGTCAGCACAAAGGGCAACAAGGTTGAAAAGGGAAAGAAGGATCTCTTCAAGAAAATTACAAATCAGGTATACAATTGCAATATCCAAGATAAACATAGCTAATGCTTTATTAAACTTGATGTCTATGTTTAAAATCTTGTTAAAACAAAAATTTGCAAAATCAAATGCATGATTCACGATTCTTTTATTGTATCATACATTTAAAATAATAATGGCCGGGTTTTGATACGTCTTTTACAGCTTATTGGCAGAAGTGTAGGTCAATTGTTTCGCAAGGAAGTTAAAATAGACAATTTACCGCGAATAGAAGTATTCGGCAAATCTCAAGTGCGCGTGGACGACATATCGAAGAACGCCACTGATACGGGAATAGCAGCATTGTTCGCTGGGCCTACGTAGCAGACAATTTTAGCGAATCATATTTTACATAGCTGGTTTAACTCAATAAACAATTATAAATTATTGTAAAAAGATTTTTTCAGAGATGGCTATACAGTGGCGCAAAAGAAAAAGATATTCGAGCCCTAAAATCTGCTGAACTAGCGTATTTTTTTCTGGCAAAGAATACGAGTTTTCGACAATCTGCAGATGTGGCGAACTATTGATATTTAAAGCACGATTAAATATCGCCTCGGATTGATATATGCATTTTTGCATATTTAAAAATTGCAAATTTCAGAAATTGTTTTTTACTTATACTTGTTTCAAAATGTTTTGAAAAATGTCGGTTATGATGGAAATAAAAAAATGATATATATGACTGGCGCACAAATTTTAATAAATATTGTAATCATTTAAAAAAAATCGAGGTGATATTTCAAGAATCTAAGGGCATTTCGTGCTCTCAATCACTATCTGCTTGAAATAAAATCTCGGATATATCAAATATGAATTATAAACACATTTGATGAACACGTCATCACTCAGATAAATATTTATGATGACTGACTGTCAGATGGATTTCTTTTTCTGTTCATTTTGAAATCGATCATCAATTTCAAACTGCTAAAGATTCGGTGATACAAGTACAGATAATTTTTTATGTTCTGTAGTTATTCTTATTTATTCTAATTAATTTCAAACAAACGTGTGTGAGCAAGAATACGTCCGATCTCATTCGTGTTCATCATATTCGAAATTGCGAACGTTCTCATCATTCAACATTCAATCTTCTAAGAATATAAATTTATCGATACGCGTTATCATTATTTTAACATACATTTCGATCACATCATTGTTAAAAAACAATTTCCGAGATATTTATATACATCACATAATGCCTTTTGTGGCATATGTACAGGACATAAGAGTTGGGATGGACTGTGGAAGGATTGTACAATAAGACAGCAAATTATTGTGATAAGGAACTAGCGAGCAAAAAGTTAACAATGTATGCAAAACGAGCAATTTAAAAATCGTAAAGTTAAGTTGCTTTCTATAAACGAAAGAAAAAGAGAAGTGGCACGTTCCAAGCTATGACTGATTAGTGGAAAACCGAATATTGTAGTATATAATTCATTCTCTTTTTCTTTTCTTTGCTTCTTTTTAAACTATATCTCCAAAGTCCATAATATCTATAGCACATTAGGTTTGTTCTTTTTAGCTTTATGAGAGTTTTCTCTTTTTTATTTTTCTTAAAGTACAAATTTGCAGAAAGTACAGCTAAAATGAGCAAATCTATTGTATTATATTATGTTATAAGGATTTCGAAGTAAAGTTTATTACATCGGTGTCATATTTATACATATAAGTATATACATATTGTACAATAAAATCTTGTAGTGATTAATCTTATATAGCGGAATAGAAGAGAATGAACTATAATCACTCATCTACATACTTATATATATTTGTTTCAAATGTTCATATTATATAATTCGTTGATTTTTTCAAAGGTATGGATCGATGCCGGAAATGTACCTATATGTGCAACAAAAAGTCGATCAACGTCTTCCTTACAACCGAGTTTTCTCGCGAAATAATTGAAACTGGTACAGTTTACGAGAATCAAATTTATATGGTACTACATTTACATATGAATCGAAACGGCAGTTTTGATCAAGAAGATTTACACGCGAGAACATACGAAGAAACATTTGTATATTATGATTAAAATCTTAATGTAAAAATAGAAAAAAAACTTCAAAAATAAAGCCAAACGTAAAAAAAATGCTTGAGTAAATTACGGTTGACTGAAAAATATCTTCAACAATTCGTCATCAGGTCGAAAACCATCATCTACCATAAAGTTCTTTCCAAAACTTGTGAAAAGAATTAAAGTCAAAAAACCAGTTTAAAAAAATGAACAATTGTAAAAAAATTTTATATATGATTTTTATAAATCATTAATAGCCCAGTGGTAAGAGCCCGGTAAGTGAAAGACTCGGATTTAATTCCAGATTCAGCGACTTCGCTCCGATTTTTCTAGTCTACTCCTTGCTATACTCTTATTTTTTGAGTTTGTTCCTCAAGCCTTATCTTTACGTTTGGTCTTAATATAAAAATGCAGTAAACTTGCAAATGACGAGATTAATGCATCAAAAAGAATAAGCAACTGATTAAACGTGGAACTTAATTGCAAACTTGCAAAAATCGTTACAACAAGAATTCAAATGGTTTAGAATCTTAAATATGTTTTGTTAAGGCGGTGTAAGAAGAGGTTCTCACACCGACACACATACAAACACACATGAATTGCTACCAATTCTACTACAGTATTACATTACAATATCACATATCAAAAATGTTTTAATCGAAAATTCTTTTATTATCTCATTTCTCGTTTGTCTTCTGATTTGACTAGGACATTATATATTTTGCGCGTAAAATGGAATTTTTTAAACATTATATTTGATTTCTGTCTCGCATGCTTTATCTATTTTATCTCTATCAGGAACAACGACCTGTTATAATTTGTAATTTAAATTCGTAAGTTTTGCATTATATACTATTTTCTCAAGCATTCCACTGCGCTTTTAGTAATCACATGTACGATTTATAAATTGTATGAGAGTAAAAGTAGCTATCAGAGTTAATTTACAATTAACAAAAAAAGAATCCATCGCTCGTAATGTATAAGATGATTTCTTACAAAAGCATTTACCTTTTTTATCAATGGAACATTGCTGACAAAAATATAGTACAAGTGTTTCTTTTTCGTTGCATTCTTTCATGAGACGAATCATTACTATTTGTATAACGGAAACACCTGATACACATGTGTACATCGAAAGTGTATCGCACATTGCCACAATTTCTCATAACGTGTCATATATACAGTGTTTTATATATATACATTTTTTTTTTTTTTTTTTTTTTTAGAATAGTGCATGCCATTACGTTAATAATATACGTGAATATCGACAAAGTGTACGCAATGGCACAAAAAAATTAATTACAATAATTATCCGGGAACCATTCTTCCGGAGTATTACAAAAATCTGCTTATCTTACAAACAACCATTTTCGATTACTTTATTGATTTGCTAAATTATAGATCAATGAGTTTGTAACAGCACTATTTTTACAATGACAATCCTTTCTTTATTATCGATAATATGACCTATTGGACTACATCACATTTGTATACTTATGTATTTAACTGATCGTTACATGTAACGAAATTATCAAGATTATTATCCAAATGTTTTCATAACGTTTGTTAATATATGTATGTGTGCATACAGAGTATCCTATAAATAAGGTACAGACCGGTACTATCTTATCTTAAAAATAAGCATCTTTTTCCTTTGGCAAGATTTTTGGAAATGCATTGTTTTCGATATCTCGATCAAGAGTGCAATACAGTGCATTTGCTATTTCTTGATTCTTTCCGTAAAAATTTTGGGATATGATTTTATTATAATAATACATTACATATAGATATTAATGTTCATTTTGTTAACATCAGCCAAAAAGCGCATTTTGCTATAAGAGAGTTCTCTCTTATATATACGAAAGAATGTCTCTCTTTCTTCTCTCTCTCTCTCTCTCATATAAAATAAAAATTTTTCATTATAATAATTTAAATATATTAGACTTAATTATAACAAAATTGCCAAAATCTTTACACGAAGAATCAAGAAATAGCAAATGCACTGTATTGCCATATTAAAAAATAAGATTTTGACAAAGTAGTACCGATTTGTACTCTATCTATATGGGACATCCTATATATATATATAAACAATGTGCGATAATTACTTTGTTTATATACATATATATGTGTGTGTGTGTGTGTGTGTGTGTGTAAAAACAAATCATTGCGCTTTGTTATAATATTAATGTTCCGACGTAACATTATTGATTTATGCCAGGCCAGAAGGAAGCGGAAATCCGCTTATTTTCAAGACCTTGCTCGTTTTTGTACATCAACTATAGCGAAATCAGCTATAGTATCTTGTATATATTATATTGTAATAAAGAAATTACATTGACAATAATGACATGTTTGTTATTAATATACGCTTGGCGTCTCTGTCTCGTTGTCCGCAAGACATGTGTATGTTGATAAATATACACACACACATCCAATTTACATAATATATTTTATTTGATATCTCTCACACACGCGTGTGTAATATATGTTTTCCTTTCAAAATCGGCGAATATAATATACATATATTTATATATTATCATTATAAATCATGATATTCGCGGATACGTTTTGACTAATGAGCTGTTATCTCTCTTTCATTATATATTCGATATATAACGCAAAAACTTATAATTGACTCTCTCTTATAATCTTCGTACGAAATATTTCACCTTCGTACGTAATGTTCCACGATACGACAAATCGAAGCGATACATTGCACAGTTTATTCTGTACAGCACCACAACTCTTCTTCGATTTCACCGAAAAGAGAATCCTATACTTTACACAGAAGCTATAAATATTTTACAGCATATTCACAGAAATTGGGATCTCTTGATATCCTTTCTTTATTATACATGACATTACTTTCACGTGAAACAATATTTCATTAAGTTAAACACTGCTTAAAATTACAACCACATTACGTGCAGGATATACAATGCCGATTGTGATCCAGACACAAATTTATCGCATTATACTTGTATCGTATATACCGCATATAACAAACACAAAGCGCCTAGTTTCCTTTTTGTCAGTATAGTCCAGATAAATTCTCAAAATTTGTACACATATATGGAGTACATAACAATATATGCATAAATACTCTTTCTTACAGCATAAAACCATCGAACGCTTATCGTTAAGATTTACAAAAAAATGCAGTAGAATATTCTTTGGAATCCAATAGCAGGTTCGTGTCTAGATGTAACGACAGAGACGTTTATACGGCTTATAATGGCGACAAGAAGCACTTTGTTATGAGCTTATTACTTGCGGCCAGCTGCTCGCGAGCTTTGTTTGGAATGTGTATAATGCAATTTATTCAATGCACGTATGCATTGTACAACGGACTCTAAACGAAATCTACGCTTTTATATATGCACGCGTTCTGGCTTAAATCGTTACTTCCCTATCTTTGGTCTTTGGTAAAATTATTCTTCATCATTTGTTATCGCTAAGACCCTAAAATTTCATTTCATTCATCTCTCCTTATCTCTTCTATGTAGATTAATTTTCAAACGACGCTTGTATATAACAATTTGTCTTTCTTCCATCACATATGTGCCGTGTTACAATATAAGACAGGAAGACAAGACTGTGTAAATTTATTTTTTTACTTTTTAAACTTTATCTTATAACGGGGTATTTTCTCGAGTTTCGTTGACTTTTGTCGCGCGGGACGCACTTCGCTGTTACTCTTAGAATATTGAGAATATAATAGAAACGTAACACTTTTTTTATCAATTTATCAAAGTTACATCGTAAAAACATTTCATTATCACCGTTCATTCGATTGAAAAAAATTACACATTTTCGAGACTCGATTTATAGGAAACAGATATAGATCAGATACATCACAAATATACACATATATATTCGCGCAAGAATCACATTCGTAGCATCTACACCCATACACAAATATAATTACTACCATTCCGATGCTCAATAACGTAAAACGCTCCTAAAAAAAGATTCCTCCGCCCCTTCTCTCATCCAGTTTTGTACTTGAGACAAAGGCAGATCTCAGATAATCTCCCAGGATATACATATATATCTCTTCCCATTATACATATATAATATATATATTGTTCGATATTTACAAAAATACAATAATAACATCTCTCATTAATAAATATCTTTCGTTAGCTGAGTTTGAGCAGTCAACGGATAAGGCGAGTATGTTTTTTTTTTCAGTAGGGCACATATACGACTATTGTTCGAACAATGTATACATATGTGTATATATACGCATATATATATACACATCTTTCTTTCCACTTTTCCTTTTTAAATCTGTTTCGTTACACGTCTCTCTGATCATTATTTCAGCATAAATCGGTTATTAATAATGGCTCTGTCCATCATTAATATCTTTCACAATTTAAAAAAAATATATAATAAAAAAATTTGAGTTTTCGTATAGTGTACGAATTGAATAAAATTGCATTAATAATTTTTCCACTTCTTATTTTCAAATATTTTATTAAACATTTATGCAAATTATACTTTACATCTATGCTACATATTATCATGAAAGAATAAATAGAAAGAAAAAAATCTTTAATATTTGGACAAGAAAATCCAGATATTATCAATAGAGAAATATTTTTTATAGTGTAACCAATGCATAAAATTTGAAAGAAATAATTGAAAATAAAAATCGGAAAAATTAATGCAATCTAATTCACACAATACAGTTCATATGCTCTCCGAAAAACAAGCACAGTAAAATATTAAGCTATAAAAAATGTTCAGATACTAAAAATAGCCAGATCCTATTCTAAATGCTATGATCGTTCAGGCCACGAACAGTTTCGGATCCTCTTGATATATCATAGCTATACAGAATATCGGCACGGAGCTTTTAAGCGTTGGTCGTCAACCAGCATTCTTCTTCTTTCCCAACAGCAAAAACACATCCATATTGTCCTTGCCCTTGACGTACACCTGTCCGCGCGGCTCGAACTCATATCGCTCCGACAAAGCATCTAGACAATTGCCGGCCATCTGTATCCTACCGGCGACCCCGGTAGAATCCATTCGTGACGCAATGTTGACCGCGTCGCCCCAGATATCGTAATACAATTTAGTAGCGCCGATGACGCCGGCTGTGACATCGCCGTAATTGTAACCGACTCGTAAAACCAGCTTGAAGCCCAACAGATCCCGATTGAAATCGTATATCACTTTGTGCATCGCTACAGCAAAGTCGAGCAACTGGAATAGATGCGTGTACTCGTGCTCGCTTTGCTGCCTCACCTGCGGATTCAGACCACTCGCAGCCATGAATGTGCTGCCGATTGTCTTGATCTTTTCGACATTCGCGTACTCCAGTTTCTCCAGCAGCTCGTCGAAATCGCCTATAAGCTCATTGAGCACACGCAGATATTCCTTACCGCCCAGATACGACTCGTCGTATAGCTCGTTGAAATTGACAATACTGGCGAAGATGATGCCCACGGATTTGTGATTCTGCGAATACTTGGCGGTTGTCTTCAGCTGATCAGCCACATATTTCGGTATAATATTATGCAACAACCAATCGGCCTGATTCTTCATTGATTGCACGCGCGTCTTATCGCGCGCTGCAACCGCGTTACCGTGGAAACACAGTCTATAACTGATCTCAAATTCACGATTCAAAAACCAGACCAATAGCAACAACAGCACCATATCTAGATATATTTCTGAATTGTATAATCTTTCGTTATACCCAGTGTAAGCTTCTCTTCGAATCGTAGTAAACGTTTCTTGTCGCCCTGTATGTTTCGCGATCGACATTCTTGTCGCAGCGGTCGAGACGACAAAATCTCTTGTTGCGTTCGGAAGACTTCCCGAACTATTTAAATCGCTCCGTTCATTCGCGAGCGATTTGAAAAAATTTGGATACAATGCCGCCAATTGCGCCGACTGCGAGCTGTTACCAAGATCGCTACGACTATTAATACTACTGAGATTCTCCTGCTGATATGGGGATATGTGACTTACCACAAGACAGATGAATAGTACGCCGGTGAGGGTAACCAATAGATTCTTCATCCAACAGTTGAGCTGCGTGAAATTGCAGAAATGGACTAGCCCGACGAAGATTAGATAGCTGTAGTAATATTCAAAGTTGCTCAGACTCCGAAAGCTGTTACACGTGAAATTAAGCAAGATGGAGATGATCGGTAAACCGACCAGAACTGCGCCGCACGCGTGCCACGGATACCATCGGGAAAAGAATCTAAAGATACTCTGCGTGAACGTCGTATGAGCGATGTGTGGATAGAAAAGTTGCCGAATGCAGAGTAACACCGCGATCACTTGAACAGCGGTGGTGAGCACAGAGAATACCATGTAATAAATCGTCGGTTCGCAGAGAAGGAAAAGCGAGATTGTGATTGCCGTGTAGACCAGGGCGGATATCAAGATGTCGAAGTATGTGTTGAATCTCGAGGTAGCCAAGGTAGGAGGATTATCGCCAATACCCTCGCTGGCTTTGTGCGCATTTTCTCGGTATTCTCTCTCCATTTCCTCGTTCTTGAAAAAGAGAGTAACGCTCGAGAGCGGCGGTTTGACGAAGTATGAGCGCTGAGAGCTCACATTGTCCTGTACGCATCTTTAAAGTAAAAGATAAAAGCTTAAAAAAAATTCAATATTTTTAAAACGTACTGAAAAATGATTTACTCACCTAATTAATTGAAGATCGGATTGCTTGCGTAATTTATGAAAACACGCACCGAATGTATCAGTTACCATCGGGGGGAACGGATAAGGGGGCACTGATGATGAAGGTTCATGAGTGGAGTTTAACGTTGAACTAGAGGTATAATAACCACTGACCCTGTGTCCTAATAAATCACCCTGGGCCATTCCGTTCAATAGGAACAACTGCAAATCCATAAAAAAATGTCTCATAAAGCAATTTATCTTATCTAGTGATTAAAAATATACCAAAAGATGATACAAGGTTTACAAAAACATACCTGTTGTTGTATACTACTTCGCCTGCTATTACTCTTGATACCGGAATCTTTCCTACTGCAAATGGAAGAAGCATGACTAATCGGCTCTTGACCAGATAATAAAGGACTAGAAGGTACAGGATTTGGATCCATTTCAACGCCATTACCCAGAAGGATCTACAGTAAGAACCGACCATAAGCGCTAACCACAGTCATAAAGTATGCGATAATCAGAAAAAGATAAAAAGCGCCACTAACTCGTCTAAATCCATTGCATTCCTCATATGTCTGCATATCGAGTTTTGTTTGTCCTATAACGATATTTCTTCCCTCTTCTATCTCCAAAGGTATCATTTCCTCGGTTGTTCGTTGTCTCTGTAGATATTTCCATGGCTTACTCCGCACTTTCTTTTTGCCATAACTGGCGGTGGATGTTGGACTTTTGTTCGAATCCTCTTTTTCATCCATAGTATCACCATCGTTTTCAGAATCCAAAATACTAGGCAAAGAATTAGCCTTCATCCTGTAACAGCTCGCGTTGGTGACCATATGAAGATAGTGATGGCGCGGTTTGGCTTGATTGTTGCACGATGCCAAACGATTCCGCGATTGCATCAACGGCGAGATACTCTTGGGTGACGTGACATTTGTAATAAATTGATTCATAAAATCTGATTTACGGGCTCTAATAAAATAAGTTTTAACACCTGGAATGATAAAAAATGTGCACATGTACATAACAAAAAATTCAGAATTTTTTTTGTACATTATTTTACTTACCATTGACTAGTTCTCCATTTTCCGTGATGTATTGGTCTCCCAAAAATCTCAAAGTATTTTCACTCAGATGCACACGGCCAGGCTTTCCCGTGCTCTCCAGCTTGTTTGCCAAAGTCACGTCATTCGACCAGACGTCGAATTTAAATCTCTTAGTACCCACAATTCCGCAGAGTACGGTGCCTGTGTGCACACCCACTCTCATGTTTACGCCTTCCCGTCTCTCGATGTCAAATTGTTTAATAGCTTCGATCATGGCTGTTAGTAAAATAAATAATGTACAATATTAGTTTCACGATTGAGATTTTCTGAGTATTATAGTATCTGGTACAATGATGTTGCTTGCACGTACCTAGCCCCATTTCTATGCAGCACTTGGCGTGATCGGATCGCGGTTCAGGACATCCGCTAACGCAATAGTAGCAATCCCCTAACGTAGAGATCTTCTCGCATCCGTGATGCTCGCAAAGATCGTCGAAACGTTCGAACAAATCGTTGAGTATGCCCACGAGTTCCTCCGCGGTTTTGTTGGAGCTCATTCTGGTGAATCCAACGATATCAGCGAACAGGATACTCACGTCTTCCATAGAATGCATATTGAACGGACGAAACAACGAACGGATGTCCGTGTTATTGGATGGTATCGAGCCTTTCTTCAGAGAATCCTCTCGCTCTCTCTCGCGCTCGCTCTCCTCCATAAGCCAGTCCGCAACTTTCGGTGGCATTACTGAATGTATCATCTTTTCTTTCAGTTGTTTTTCTACTTCCAATTGTCGACGGACCAGCAGAGATTGACCGACCTTCATAAACGTACCGCGCATTCTTACAAAGGTCATTATCAAGATATGCATGCCTATCAAATGAATACAAATCTGCATCAAGATCCTTATCGCGAGATTCGTGGAAAAATCGATATCACTGGCATCGAGCATGTTATCGCTAGTATAATTATCTATAGGAGATGCTTTTACAGTTGAGCTAATAGTGGATCTAATCATGGATGGGATGCTGGAATTTAATCTCGTCAAGATATTCGAGTCAATTATAGCACTGTACAATCGTTGAGCTATCGGTTCTCGTTCTAGAAATCCGGTTCCCATATTTTGTATCGTATCTTTATCTTCATGTAGCATCGTCGATATCGCTTCTGTACTGCTAATTGTTGTAGTAAGTTCACTAATATTACGTATCACATTCTGTAGACCAGCAACAAGTAGAGGATCCTTTAGGGATGAGTGCGTAAGTACCAATGTTTTCTCCGCCGTCGTATTATTCAGTCCTGAGGAATTATTTCGTATAATCCGTTCGCTGTGTTGCATATCCTTCGAGCCATACAAATAGGCAGTCAAGATTTCAAACATTAATGAGTAAAGCGTGGCTATCCCCACGCAGGCGTAGAGTGGCATCGGCAGCACCGTATAAATTATCAATAGAATTTCTGAGCACAGAGCAAAATGTCCGACCAGCGTTAGTCCGTCCACGTGTGGCGGCACCATGGCAAGGAAGAACAAGGATAGGAAACAGAGCGTGGACGCGACCCCCAGAGAAGTCGTCAGTACATAAGATCTGTAGTAATCCGTATATGTTAAATAAAGTACGGCCGATACCATGGCAGCAACGATACTGAAAAGACCCGCTATCGCCGCCCATGTCGATGTTTCGTTCTCTATTCCGATTATCACAAAGTACATCAGCCACGATAAAGATACCAGCAGGATATATGTGAGAGCATATCTGCAAGAAATAATAAATAATCAAAACAATCTTTTAATTGTAATCAAAATACAGATTACTTTGATCACATGTATATATAACATATCATAATACAAACCGAAATCTTAATCTAATTTGAGGAAAGGCACTTCTCTTAAACTGTTCCTCAAGGATTTCCGAATCAAATCTGGGATTCCACCACGATCTTGGTGCTGCACGTTCGAACGGTACGGGTAGACTGATACCGCAGCATCCCAAGCCCTGACTACTATGCGCCAAGTACGTCTGTATATATGGCGCCAGAGATATGTGAATCTCGTCCTCGGCATCTTCGCTATCGTCCTTTGCTCTGGTAAAGCTGACGGATGAGCCACGTTTCCGATTCAAGTGAGGAGACATATTGATGATCTAATAATATTGAAAAAGAAGTAATGATATTGATCAGGAATATAGAAAGAATATTTAGGAAATATTTAATGATATTAAAAAGTAATATATATAATCTGAGAAAAATATATATATTGCTGATAAGATTGACAAAATTATCATCGCTTGTTCGTATATATTATAAAAATGATTCCATGATATAGAGTATAATGAAAAATTAAAATTATTTTTTATATGTATATTCTTATTAGATAAATATATATTTTTCTTCTCATACATATATTTTATACATATAAAATTTGCATCTCTTTTTTATTCTACAAATTAAAAAGAAATATATGAACTATATATATATAATTTATACACATACATACATATTGTACATATATAAGACAATTACTCTATTGATTGTCATCTGTAAATATCATGCAGCTTAAACTATTGACATATGTATTGCTATCCTGTTGCAACAATAATAAGCAGCAGCTGCTAATAGTACTGTGTGAAATACATTTAACAAACGCTATCACTAAAGACCTTTATAATGCACATCTTTTGCTCTGGTTCCTTTGTGTTACATTATTACAATAATAAATATAATACTAAATATATAGTCATATAAACATACACACAGAATATTTAAATAATGAAGAAAAATACATTTTATATTTATTTTAGAATATCAATCTTCTTTTATCAAAATGATTTCAACAGAATGGAGCATTTTCTTTATTTTGTAAAAAAGATTTCTTTACACATATTAACGACAACATAATTACAGATATTTCATACAAATTATTTTTCGCAAATTTTCTCATTTTATGTATATACACCATTATAGGCGCGATGTATAAATTGTCAACTTCAATGTCAACTCATTAATTATTATTTGACGATGCAAATCAGACGTGAGATTTAAGAATAATGATTCTACAGAGATTCATGAGACTCACCACAAGTTGATTCGCTTCAATCAAAGGCGAGAACGCCGGAAAATTTGAGAAATCATCCTCCTTAATGACATCGGAGGTATTTGCGAGAATCAGCTAATGTCACAGAGCGCCATTTTTTTCGCGGGTCTCCTTCGAGCGACCGTCGCAGAGATGCGAGGAGACCTCGATGAAGTCAACGCCGAGGCACACGGACGGCGCGATGGATAAATTGTCACGGGTGTAAAAATATTACGCGTTTCCGTCGAAACTGTTAAAACATTCTCCGCTACGACGTTCCGCAGCCATTTTGAATCCATCAACTGTTCCCTTAGGCCGGGTCTACAATAAGTATAATAAAAGCCTTTAGCCTTCTGCTCTAATAATAAGCCCTAAAATATTACATAATTTTCGGCCAGAAATATTTCCCGCTCTAATCTCTAAGTTTTAAGCGTGCTAGCCAAATCCCAGCTTTTAAAGCTTACGACTTAAAACTTTTGACCGATATAATTCTAAAAGCTAAAGGCTTACTACATCTATTGAGATATATTGTAGACCCGGCCTTAATTCTCATTGCGTAACTGATACGGGCTTTATGCTGACCAATCACAGCTATTCCTCTAAAGAATGGAGTGACTGTGATTGGTCGGCCGTTATACTAGCGGAAGTAAAAGTAACTGCACTTTTGCATCAATGAAAGTTGGCCACCGTGTATATGATCTTTGATAATCTTGCCGACGTTGGCCAACGTCGCGACGCGTGTTCGGTGACACGCATGCAAATGCGTAACATCGACATTTTAAGGCGGGTATGCATCGTGGATGAATACAGAACATGACGGCTACGGCATTCGCCGAATTAAATTAAATCGATTCGTCATCGTTGCAGCTCATACGGAATCGCGTCGAAAAAAAATCCGGACCGTCGCGGGTCGCGGATCGCGGACAGTTGCGGATGAGCGCCGTCATCTCCTTGCATACGTGGCAGAGGCCGCTCGCCAATCAGAAGAGCCGCCGGCCGATAGGCGTGGCTTGCGGCGCCTAGTACAGCTCGCTCTACGTCCGGCTCCGGTCGCCATAGCGCTACGAGGAATCGTGTTGTGCGCGTGTAATTCTCGTTCCGTCGTGCTCGCTCGCTCGCTCGCTCGCTCACTCGTTTCGCGATTAGCCGCAGCGAGAAAGTCGTAGCACGCATTGTTCCTGCCGAGGACCGTGTCCATCCACGGAAGTGTCGTCCACCGTGTAGCACCGTGTCCTGGAATCTACGGAAATAAACAGCCTCGGTAAGTGGTCGTCGGGATGAACACGGCGTGCCGGTCGCCGTAACACCGTTAAACGTGTTGACGCGACGATTCGCCGGTATCTCGCGATTATGCCGCCGATCAGGTCTCGATGATGTGTCGATGACCCGCGCGCTCTGTCATCCATATGTCATCGTCTTGCTCCGAAATTTCACACGAGCCGTTCTATCGCATCTCTGACTTATCTCGCTCGTTCGCTTGCATACGTATACGTATCGACAATGTTCCATAGTTATGCTATTGGGACGTGTCTCAAGGACAGATTCACCAGCGTACGATCCGCGACCGATTTTTGTTTTACTCCTTATTGTTAGCGAGAATTTCGTGGAATATTATTGACCATTTGCACTCGTTTTTGTTTTTTCTCAAAGTATGTGTATTCTTCACTCATACACAGTTAATTGTTTCTTTATTCTTCTGTTACTTATAATTGTTGAGCAAAGGACATTTTTTTCTTACAAATATCAGTAATGTATTATCTTGATGATTTATACGGAATCTTTAAACGATGTATCAGTAGATCTAAAGGACAAACATTTATGTAAATATATTTAGATTGAGTAATACTATATAATATATATAGAAAGATAAGAAAATATTGTGAAAGTAAGAAAGTTCTCTATTATAGTTAATACATATAACACAACTAATGCCTAATAATCTAATTACTTTATATAAAATAGTGATGCATAAGATGTAATTAATGTCTCGTAGATAAGACAGTCAAAAATGGATATCCAGACAGGACTCGTGTATATTGGTGTTGTTGTTATCTCAGCTGTAGTTATCGCCTGTATATCAATGTATGCTATGAGGGAAAAATCTTATGAAGAAGCAATTGCCGAACAGAGAAAGCTTCCTGATGATCTATTGTCAAGTATGTCAATTAATTTGTATGCTCTTATCTGTAAAATCAAATTTTCAGTTTGATGAAGCCATTTTAATGCATATAAAATAATTTAGTTACAGAGAATAAAAATTATTAAAGAGTTATATAGATAGAAATAAATAAAAATTATTATAAATAAAATATTTAAATTAAATAAAATATTAAATGCTGTAAAAAAAATATTGTTTTATATTTTTAAAAATAATTCATTATTATATTTTTAGGTAAGAAGGATAGAAATAAAGAAAAGAAACATAAGAATAAGGCAGGGAAGAAAGCAAAAGAGAAGAAAGAGGAGAAAGATGACAAGGATGATAAGGATGAAAGGACAGAACATGTACAATTTGAAGAGACTCCCCAAATACTGCCTCCTGAACCACCAGTACAAGTGAGCTTGCAATTTATTAATTTATTGTTGTTACTCATTAAAGAGACTATAATCAATCCATAAGAATTGAACAAAATTAATGGTATGGATTGTTTCTCGTTCAATAATATCCTAAGAAAGATTGCTAGTACAATTCTATTTTAATTATTAGAGAAAATGTACATATGTGTACATACTATGTCTATTTACTTAATATTTTTATATTGTTTGTACTACACTTACATATATAGGAATACTATAATTGCATTTTCCCCTCTTGCACCAGATCAAAAAAAAAAAAGGTGTACTATAATTATGACTATTTCTTCATATAAAAGATGTATATAAAGCTGATATATTCAAGATTTGAATGCTACATATTTCATGCATGAAATACAATAACCTAGGTGACACATAATGTGACATATCATTACCATTGAAAAGAGATTTAAAAGCAGGGCTGCAGGTCATATATTTTTATTCCATAGTCATGTAATCTATAAGATATACATCTCTATATAAAATTTTTGTAATTGTTACTATTCCACATTTAATTTTAACATTTGACATTTACATTATTTCCAAATTTCAGATAAAAATTAAAAATAATAATTTTTGATATGGGCTATACATGTATATAACAGATAAAATAATTATTAAAAAAAAAAACACTTTTTATATTATTGTATCATATTCATGCATATTGTATATAAGAAAATCTGAATAAATCTCAATATATATTAATTATGTACAATGTGCATGAATATGATACAATAATATGAAAATTTGCATATTTCTTATACATTATATGCATTATATAATAATGGGCATTGAATAACTTATAGCATATCAAGAGACAGATAGTGTCTCGTCAAGTATATGTGACACAACATGGTAAAGTGTATTCTATCATAATATATAAATGGATTCACTCACATTAAATTCTGCACCGACACATAAAAACAAATAATTTGTTTATACTTACAGAATAATTTTGTCATATTATATTATGTCATATTGTTGTCGTGTATATATAATATGAATCAATATTAATAAGAAACTCATGTTTCGAGCATGTGGCTTGACATTTGAAATTTCCAAATTATATAAGTTTTATTTCATTATTCCATTATTTTTTTCTAAAGAAAAGTGCGATTTAATAAAGCCAATTAAAGAACCACATTCATTATATTACCATATTTTGCATATGTCACTTTTTTATTGCTACTTTCAATTGTTAATTTTTTAAAAATAATTTACAATAATTTTTGTTTTATAAAATAGAGATCTTTTTAAAAGATATTATTTTTATCTTTTATAAATGTTCTTTTTTAAATAAAAAACCAAGTTCATTGCTTTTTTCAACACTAACAAATTTTATATTCAAATAGGAAATTATTGTTTGTCAAATTGTGTATGAAATATTATTAGATTTTATAAATAGAAATATACTATCATTTGGAAAAAATTTAATTCGTATAATTTTTCTATAGTATGTTATATATTAAGAATATGATTTTGATGGGATCTTCAGGCTGCTATTTGATTATTTCTTACGCATGTCCCATTGATAAATAACTCAGAAAGTTCAAGATTATTCTCTAAAAATAACTTCATCACACATGCAACAGCATTCCAATGATATTGCTTCACTCTCTATCTCTCTCTTTTTTCTCTTCCTCGACCACCTTATCACCTAGATTACAAGAGTCAGACATGACAAGTCTCTCTTTACTAAGTGAGAAAATTGGACACTTTTGCCATAGAATTTTAGCCAACTTTAATTATATGCAAATATTTTATGGAATCTTTACAATTATATATATAATGTGTTTACATTATAATTGTACAAACTTTTAGTTCTATAAAGATAATCTTGAAAAATCATTGAAACAGTGATATGATGGAAATCATAAATTTCAGGTTTATGTGCTCAACAAGAGGACAAAATAAACATGAGGTGAAAAACGGCTTAATAAATCGTTAGCAAAATAATTTATAATCAATGAATTATTATATTAATTTTTAATATACATTTATCAACATTTTGAAATAACTTAAAAAGTAATTATTTATAAATTACGTTTTATACTATATTATGTAAAACATATAATACTATGATATAATATGGTTGAGTTATGTATGTATGCCCATTATTACATAATACAACATGGAATTTTATTTACGAGCATGCTGCTTGATATTTCTTAACGCATTGCTTTCTTGATCAAAATAATATGAGAACGTACCTGCATTAAACTCTTAGGAGAGTAACAAAGGCAATAAGAAGAAAGGAAAACTTGAAAAGATAAAACCAATCCTCGTAAATAAAGACGAGCCATTGGCCATTGTGACTGAATTGAATCCCTTGCAACCTGCCTTGGCAGAGGCTAATCATTTTGACCTCATTCATCCAAAGGATGACCTTGAACTTGTACGGAATCAGAGTGTGAGTGATTATCATTTGCACAATTTCTTGCACAATGTATATTTTTCTATATCTTGCATTTTTGCTTTACTTTATAATTGAATGGATATCAGTATAATATTGGGTTGCTGAAAGAAAAGCAAAGCTAACTATTTTGTAAAACATTACTTTGCAAAACATTAAAATTGTTTATAAGATTGTTATCATATTTCCCACATTGTGTGTACGTGTATGTGTGTATGTATGTTTAAATGTTTTCTAACAGAAAGCATATTGATTTATGAAACATTAACAATTATGCTGGAGCTGTTAATAAATATTTTAGATCAACAATGTGTTCTTCATATTGCTATAGAATATTGCTTATAACTGGATATTAATATATTATATGTGTTCCATCTTTTTTTCTTGAGTTTTTTATTATTTAGTTATTTTGCAGGAATAATATAATATTATAATAACAATATATATGTTATACAACACAGAGAGAGAATCTTCAGCAGATTACTCAAACGGAAACAGTAGAGAAAACTAATAAATCACCAAAGGATACACCAACCAAATCGAAGAAAAATAACAAGGATACTATAAAGAAAAAAGATGAAAATATTAAAGATGAGAAGCAGGATTCTAATGCTCATACTAATCTGTTTTGTACTAATAAAGAAGCTATAAAAGAAATAAAGGAGCAGCAGAAAGAGACACCAGTTAAGGAAGTAAGGGAAGTTGTTAGAGAAGTTGTAGTCCAGCAGTTATCAAACAAGGAGCCAAAAAAGACGAAAAGAAAGAATGACATCTTATCTCAGATTGGTAAGTCATATTGTTTGTAAAAAGATATTATTATTTATGCTTTATTTTTATATATTTTATTATTTCTTATGATTGTTTTTCTTAGATATTGCTTTTATATTATTTAAGATTTCTGTTATTTTTAATTCATGCTTATTTCTACGGTCGCACCTGCTTAGATCAATAATCCATTTCAATAGTAAATGACAATAGTAAGAACTGACATATAGTAAGAAGATGATCTAAATCTGTGTGTGTGTTTCTTATAGAGAGCAAATCAATATCTAACCTGATGTTACATTCTATAGTCTGCTATTTAATTGATTGGAAATACGACTTTACTTCCTCTACCTGTATCATAAAACTTGCTCTTTCTTTTATAGCTTATATTATTTGATAGTAGTATTCACATATACATATTCCTGTATTTCATATGTTTTTGATATGTGTACCATATATTCGTATCTAACAAATATAACGATTTATATTATGTTTTATATAAAAAAAGCTGGTTATGAAATCGCGGTTACTTAACATGAAAGTTGCTCTCGTGAATTTTCTAAATAAATTATTTTACACTAAAAAAAATATAAATTAAAATCCGATAAAGCTCGTGTAAAGTATGCGAAGAATCTGCTCAAAGCAAAGCCAAGCAAATTCCTTTGAAGTGCTTTGGAATGTGGTTGAGGTAGGATCACTTCCCTTTCCACATTCATACACAGGTCAACGTCCGTGCGCTTAATACCGGGTAGTGCTATAATACGAACAGTAACATAAATCTTTGATATATTTCGAAAACAGTAATTGTGTAACCATTGAAAAACTTTTCTAAAGTATCTGCAAATATGTATATAAAAATTATATTTTTATATTTAAAAATTACATATAACACACGTGTGTGAAACATTTTTCTATAAAACTTATATTTTACAATTTTTTGAATATAACTTTTAATGTGACTCATACATACACATATCTATAAATTTATATTCTCGATGTAAAATAATATATACATATAGCTTTTATAGTAAATTATGAATATGTAATGAAAAATTCAATATTATTATTACTAATGTTGAAATAACGTTGAAAAACTTTTTTTTTCTTTCTAGATGGGGATGCTGTCAATGTTGAATTATTGATGCTATGTATTCAAAAGGCTGAGCTAAGTCGATCTGAAATACAAATCCTCACCAATCAACTCTTGAATAAGCAGCAGGACAACCCGTTAGAGCATTCCGAATGGACGGAAGGTCGCGCCGACCCTGTCATCAAGCTGAAAAAGCAATTGGCAGAGAAGGAAAAAGCATTGGCTGACGAACATGAAGCGAGCGTGGCTTTCCAGAATAAGTTGAAGGAATTGCGAGCTGAATTTAATTCGGAGAGATCTAGGCTTTTAGCGAACATCAAGCAGCTGGAAGATACGTTGAACGCCAAAAATACAGAGAATCAGACCTTGCATATCCGAATGCAACATATCTTTGAAAGCCATGCCGCAGAGAAGCAAGGTTTCAACAGACAGATTGAGCAGCTGCAGACCAAAGTGGACGAAGATGCTGCTATTATTCATAAATTACAAGAGGATCAAGGACAAACTCAGGGTCACTTGCAGCAGGAACTGATGACACAGCGTAAGCAAATGGATGTGCAGTTTGCTCAAATGCGCGAGAATGAAAATGCGTTGAAGACTCAATTGACCCAGAAACACGTGGACATACAGGAATTGCAAAATGAGCTGCAAGCGACTTGTGAGAGCAGTACTGCAGAGATAGAGATGTTACGTCAACAATTAGGTATAATGCAAGGTCAATTGATGCACTCGGAAGGACAATTGCAACACTTTAAGGAAACAAGCGATCGGCTACAGGACGTTGCCAGGCAACTTGAGGTGAGAATCGCGATTCATAATTGAGTTTTAACAAACACTTATAAATTATTTTCTATATTAGCATTGAGGCTTTTTTTATAATTTAGGAATCCCATCGTGCAAACGCAGACTTGGATCATAGATTGAAAAGCGCGCATCGGCATGAGCAGGAATTACAAAAGCAAGCAAATTCGTTGCAGGCCGAGCTGAATAACGCGAAAAGTGAAGCTAATGAAGCGCCTACCTTAAAAATTGAACTTAGCAAGGCTCAAACTGAATTGATAAAATTAAAGTCAGAGTTATCGGTTTCATTGAACGAGGCCAAATCAGAAGCGGCTGAAATAACAGCCTTGAAAACCATGTTGAATAACAAGGAGGACGAACTGAAAAAATCTCAGGACAAACTCAACGCCGTACTGAACAATCTGCAACAATCCAATGTGCAAGTCACGCATATGGAATCCAAATTGAATTCTATGCAAAAGGAGATGGAAGTGATAAAGATCGATTTTGAAAAAACGGAACGTAATTTGAAGGAGGCGAAGAACGACGCGAACAAGTATCAAAAAGAGATGCAAAGAGCACAAGAGATATTAGCAGGTGTACAAGCCGAATTGATTAATGCTCATGCTCAAATCAAGGAAACCAATGGAACCGCGAGCGAATTGAAAGTTTTACAAACTGAAGTCAATAAACTACAGAACAGCGAGAAAAAGGTAGCAGATGCGCAGTTTCGAATTATGACATTACAAGAAGAAAATGATAGACTGCGGGTTGAGGTATTATTTATTTATCTATCTTTTAGTCTTTAAATATTTTTTATGTATATTTTTATAAATACACTGATATATTTTATATAAAACGTTTTATATATATGTGTTTTATATATATTTTATATGTGCAGTGTATGCATAACACGTATATAGAGCAAGTAAAACTGAAGAGAAAAGTCCATTACCATTTTGTGATTTTCGCAATAATTATTGAGAACTAAATTAAAAAAGATCGGCCAATGCGTGTGAGTATTAGTGCGCAATGAGAAAGGACAACCCATTTGATGTGTGGTTGTTAGGACATAAGAATCCCGCATTATGTACTGCTTGTATGTAACCATTGTCATTTGTAGAGTGTCCCTCCCAAAACTTCGTAATTTTTGGGATACCTCTTTTTGCTGCGCGCTTATACACGCGCGAATTAATCGATCTTTTTTAATTATTTTCTCAATAATTATTACAAAAATTGCAAAATGATAAAGGACTTTTCTCCTCGATTTCACCTGCTCTACCTGCACACGATGGGTGATGCAATTGACTCTGGACACCCTGTATATATAAATAACCAAATTATAAAGATATTAATTATATGCCATGATGTATATGTGCAGCTTGCAGATATCATAGAGAAACAGAAGGAGCTTCAACAACAGCATGAGCAAGAAAAAATTCTTAAAAATATTTTAGCTGTTACCACCGAACCTCCACATGTTAATTCGTATGTATATGTAAATTTTTTATTTAACTCAATGTGTATTTTCTTGATACTATATATATATATTAACGCAGATTATATTAACAAAAAATATTTCCATTGCATCTTACATGATTATATTTTATTCAATTTAACTGATCTATATAAAACATTTATTTTCTAAATATTCAGAGAGGAGAAATCTTTACTGGACTCTTTGAAAACTGAGTTAACGCACAAGAAGGAAGAGCTCAATAAAATGAATGAACGGATACACTTATTAGAAAATGATGCAGACAAACACCAAAGTTCTATTAGCCAACTAAAAAAAGAGTTGGAGATCCAAATATCTAAAAATAACGTAAGTTCTTTGTTTATTGAATGAAATTGAATTAAAATATTTTCTTATATTGCTGTTTGATAGATTTTATGTTAAATTATATATTCTCTGTATGTATACTTTTAGTTTGAATTTAATTGCAATTTCCACATAAAACACACACACTAATACATGTTTATTGCTTGCATCACTTTGTCAAATTCTTTCCTCATAAAAATCGACATGTTTTTATTTTTTATCATATTGTTTTTGAAAATTAATATTATATAATCGTATTATTTACAAAAATTATGATTTGTTATAATAGCACAAAAAATGTATTCATGTCTTTTTCTTAATCTTCTGTCGCAGAAATTACGCACAAAGAACTGGACAGTGATAGAAGCTCTTTCTGCTGCTGAGTCGCGTGCCAAATCCAATGATGAAAAGAGAATTGTAGTAAGTCTTTGCTATAATATGAATTATATCAATTAATAATATTATACTTAAATATTATATAAACTTATAACTACTACAGTAGTATTGTACCTACCATATATCATGGTACATTTAAGAAATTTAATTATATTTTTATCATTTTTCCTGAATCATTTCAACTGAATAGTAAATACTAACCAATGTAAATATTTTTTAATTATTGATGGTGGAAGAAAGTCAATCGAAAATTTATTTCTGGATAATAAATAATATTTCTTAGATAAATTTTTCTCTTGTATAATATTACTTGTGTTTTTCTTGATTTAATCAGGAAACAACACAAAAAGTCAAAGAAGAACAAGAAGAAATAACTAAGGCTCTTCTACAGAGGATATTTCCAGAAATTAAAGTGTCTGAGAAAACACATGAGCAATGGCTGGAAGCTTTCGAAGATAAAGTAGGCGCTATTCTGAATGAGTTAAAACAGAAAAACACAGATCAAGCAAAACCAGATTTGGAACGACAGAATAAAAATCTACAAAATATGGTTTCACATTATCAACAGATTATTGGTGAAACGGTGAGTTCTTCTTTAACGAATATTACTTTAAAAAAAATTATATATATATACACAGATCACAGATTTGGAACGACAGAATAAAAATCTACAAAATATGGTTTCACATTATCAACAGATTATTGGTGAAACGGTGAGTTCTTGAGTTCTTCATATTACTTTAAAAAAAATTATATATATATA